AACAGATGAAACAGATTTCATGGAGCTTGAAATAGATGGAAAGAAGCACGAAATAAGATTTCACAATAATGTAGAATATAAGATGGAAACATTAGCTGGAGTGTTAAATGCTCTCATAAGTACTACAATAAACAAGGATAACGGAGAAAACTTAATGAATGTTAAACTTATTGCAGGAGTTTTGAAGTTCAGTTATGCGAAAGAGTTTAAGATACCAAGAATGAGTCATAGAGTACAACTTCTTTTGGGAGCATACCATATGACATTTCCTTTGAAAAGTGTTGACAAAACGATTGAGATGAAATCTGTTCCATACGTATGTTATGGTAATTGTTTGTACATTGAGTCTAAAATAGCTAATGTCACAGGCATTTCAGGAGTTAATAGTAAAGGTTCAGTAGAATATAAATCCTTCTGTTATGCAGTCAATTCAATGTTCATTCCAAACGTTCCTGTCATAGCAACTCATTTAGGTAAATGGGTTCGCATTAGTCCTCATAATTTGAAAGACATGCAATTCAGACTTGTTGACTTTCAAGGAGAGCCTGTAGAACTGAAGGCACCAGTGCGAATGACTGTTGAAGTTGACTTTTTAGAAAATATTAAATGCAACAGCTTACAAGAGAACTCAGAGCTAAAAATATAAAGTATGAATGTTATGTATTAGGTCATGAACTTTGGTTGTTGCTGTTTGATGAAACAAATGAATTAGTTATGTCAGTCAAGAGAACAGAAAAATATTGTGTTAGTGAAAACTGCACCAAGTCAATAAGATTAGGTTTGCATTATGAAGATGAGTTCGATACTGTTGAAGAAGTTTTGGATAGATATTACAAATTGCTAACTTGAAATTTTTTTTTGACTGACGGCGCAAAGCGCCAAGATGGGCTCAAAGAGCCCTCCTGACTGCTTTAATTTACTAAAACATATTTCAAACAAAGTTTATATTCTGTTGAAAGTTTTGTATATTCGTTCGAATATTTATACTTAAACTCAACTCCTGTAGTTCCTGGTGTTTCAATGATGCGGATGTTACCTATTTTCATGAATGGTGGCGTTTGACCACAGCATTCGATTTCAGGGTCGAGATAGTCAATGACACATTGTTTCCCTGTTATTCGTGATATAACATTTTCAAGGTCCTCCTTTGTTAGAATTATTTGGTTCTTGCTTATAAGATTTGTCAAAAGCTTCTTATCGTCTTTGAGTAAAATTGTTTGGTATAACTGAAGAAGGTAATGGTCTACGTTATCTGAAGGATTTGTTTGAACATTTGTGTAAGGGTTGTCGTTGGCTTCTCTTGAAAGAATTTGGTCCAGTGGTGGATACTCTAACTTAACATCTGATGTAGCGTTAGCGTTTGAAGCTGTGTTTAAATTCACCGACTTAAGTTCTGGTTCTTTTTCTTTCAAACACTCTGAACTATAGTTCTTTATGACAATATTGTTTGTCGTTCGTGAGTCAACATTTGATGTTGGTTCAATTGGAACATTAACGGCACCAGCTAAGATGGATTTGCTTCTCATTTCATATAGAATAAAAACCTTTTATATGTATGAAATGAACAATATACTCGACAAGGGTTTGAATGTAAAGCTAACGAATGAAAATATTGTTGAATTCACTGAGACAGGAGCTGTGTATAAAGATGTAGAACTACTGAACAAAAGAGCAAAGGGAAGAAGCAGGAACATGAACAAAGGGTGGAAGCCTATAAAAATTTATGTCAATGATGGCTCAGGAGGTTCAAACATAAAGTATGCAGAAAGTTATAGAGTTTATGCTCTCAAAGGTGAAAAGCCTTCATTTAAGAACAGCTATTCTAACGCATATCCTCAAAAGCTAACGGATGGGGAAGTGGATGATATGAATGACAGCAAAAATATTAACAGAAATGGCGACAGAGATGCATGGAATTTGTTTACCATCAGTCAATTGAAGGTTAAACTTTAAAACAATGTTGGTCGTTCCCATGGAATATTTTTGACTTTAATGGTATTAGTCATGATATGAATCTCAAGGTATGAACGAGGAGAGATGAGAGACTTATATGCTTCCCAAATTTCTTCAAAAGGTAATGTTATACCTGACTTTTCCAAATGAGTTCAATGTCATAGCGTGAGAAACCTTGAAAGATAACGAAGTCAGTTATGAGACGTTTTATGTTTAAAGCTAAAAACCTCCATGTTTGCATAAGTATTGCTACAGTTAAGTGGTAATGTCTGACTTTTAGTAATGATGTTAGCTAATGGTGAGTCTGGTTTTGACACTAAACCTTTTCCGCGAAGTCGTCACAAACAATAAAGTGTTTGATGGATATTTTTTGAAGGGTATTTGAAAGTTTTGACAGAATGTATTTGTAAGTCGTTTCATATCGTAAACTCCTGAGTACTGACGTAAGTGGTGTTTGTTAATAATTCTTTCCATCTCCTCAGAAGTCTTTTGCATTCCTGACTGTATAAATTCAACGATGGCATAATATTTCCTCTTACGTCGAATGTAACGTTGAAGAAATTCAATGAGTTCACTGTCTGGAACTTTAACGACAGAGGCTTGAACTTTTGACATAAATGTTTTCGCTGTTGAGTCCATAGAGTCTGAAGTTGCTGATATAATGATTTGGTCATAATATGAGTCATTTCCTAAACGTTCTGTTATAAGAATATGACGAATGAGGTTAAATGTCTTACCTGAACCCATCTTTCCACAATAGAAATACACACCATTTGAACAGAACTCATAGTCCTTGCTGAAAGGAAGAATGAGAGAAGAGTTAAGTTTGTCTGTAGTTTCATTCATGTCTTCATCTACGTCATGTATTAAATGCTTCATTTTATCTCCATTAAAAATGCAAGTCAGAAATATTCAGAACATAGCACCGAGTCTAACTGACAAGAGTATAAAGATATACTATGAACATGTTATGATGAAACCTACCAAAATTCAAGAAAGTCAGTATACTTATGAATATCCAAGACACTGGGTAGAGTATGTAGGAGGTGAGAAAGCTATTGAAATCAGACAGGTTCGAAGTATTCCAGCAGGAAGAACAATATTATTGAAGAACTTTAATGTTTTGAGATATAATGATGAAACAAAGAAGCAAGATAGTTTCCCTGTTGCTGTGTATGTGAACTTAGATACAGGAGATGACATGAAAGTTTTTAATACAAAGCTTCAAACGGTAGTGAGAGAACAACTGACTGCGGAAGGGCATCCATTACCTTCAGAAGTTACCATAGCATATAATTTTGAAACAAACTCAATAGATTTTAAAGTCATCTCTGCAAAGAAGTCAGGTTTTACATTTAATGAAGCAGATGTATATTCGAATGAAAACTTCAAAGCTATTGCATGGTTAGATAATGACGATTGCTTTAAGAAAATATTTAAATACAGTGACTCAACGATGTCAATAGATGACCTTCGTGGAATGTTACCATCGACGTTTACAGTAGAAGGTTCAGCAGGATTGCTTACAAGATTGTCAATTGGTGGTATTTGGTTTCGTGAGAACATTGTTATAAAATCCAGTATAAGTGAATTTGCTGAAGAATCTATATTATGTCTTTCAAACCACATGTATTCGCCGCCGAAGCATTATAGTATAACAAACTTTGTCAGTAAGTTTAACATAAGACTTGTCGAACCTTCTTCAATGAAAGATGTTGTGCTACCCAAAGATGGATGTAAATGACAGAACAAAAGCAACTCATTCGAATTCCACAGTATAACAAACATACATTTAAACATTTATTCTTCCTTCCTGAGCATAACATGTTCTTTCAAATACATCCGAGACCAGTTGACTTTTCATTGACTGTGTATAAAGATAGAAATAGTTATATCATTAAACCATACGATGACGAAGGTAAGTTATGTAAATTGTACGTTAAGAAGTTAGAGAAAGTTTATGGCTTCAAGTATGACTACAATAGGGTTAACACTGATGATGAAGATATTGAGGAAAATTTATGAGAACATTAGTGAAGTCGTTAGTGAGAACGATAGTGAGAACGTTTATTTTTTACATTAGTGAGCTCGTTAGTGAAGTGAAGTGGGTGGTGGTTTTGTAAAGTGTCAAATTCACAAGTATTGGGTAAGGTGGAACGCAGTGCCGCCGTACCCAAGACTTGTATACTAACTTCTGAAATGAAGCTTTGAATCTCTTGTATATCTAATTGTAGAGGTACCTTTTCAAAATGTCTTCTATTGATTAAATTTAATCAGTAAAAGTCATTTTGAAAAGGTACATCTCTATAATTGCTATTGAGCATTCACTCTTGGAACCTTAGAGCTCTTGTGTAGTGCATGAAAACTCCAAGATTCTAGCATAAAACATATATCATAGACATAATTTCTTCAAATATAATTTAAGGTTATTTTAAAAAAAATTAGAAAAGCGTAATTTAAGGTTATTGAAAAGGTGACACTTGGCAAATTTGTCCCGCACTCCAAAAATTGATATTTCATATGGTTTTATGATAGATAAGCATTATATTCCCACTCATTATATTCGTAAATTTTGAGGTTTATCCTTCGCTTTTAAGATCATTGAATTTGATTTTTATATAAAATAGTTATATATTAGAAAATAATATGAGTTTATGTGATATTCTTTTTCAGAAGATTTTGTGTTCTTCTTCAAAATTTTATTTTTTTATTAAAAAGAATCTTTACAAAATATACATTTACTTTAATTAATATTTAAAAACGTGCTCTATCAAAAGTTCCAAAAATTCAATATTTTAGCTTTTCTGAGGTGTCACTTTTGATGAATTTCTGTTTACAACAAGCCAATAAACATAATTTTTTACGATTTTGACACTTTTGATTTTGATTTTCCTCCTATTATACATTTTCTGAAATTTTGTTAGTCATCATGCACTTAACAATTAAATTTCTTATTTATATTTTAAATATATCACAAAATTTGAAGGATTGATTGAAAAAGTTGCAAAGTATTGAAACATTTTTTATATAATTTTATTTCAAAGTGTATGTTATTTTTTACCCTAACATCAGAAAAGCTACGAAGTTCAATTAAAACATATACGTATTCAATAAATTCATATAAACAGCATAGAGATTTGAAATTACAAAAAGAATTTTCAGATTATTACCAAGAAACTTCTTTTAATGATATAACAAAAAATGAAATTATATCAGGAAGTGGAAGTTATTACATTCATAACACATTATTTACTTTCCATTATAGAAATCGTGCAGTTTACCTTAATTCCAACAGCAAAGTATTATTAGAAACTTGTACATTTTATAATAACAGCGTCAAAGGAAGAGGTGGATCATTCTATATCGAGAATTCAGAGTGTATCATAGTTCATATTTGTGTTTCATCATCAACAGTTAGTTCTCTTTCAGGAAGTGCATATTGCATTGTTTCAAATGATAACAATAGGAGTTATGCATTTGAATGTTCAGTATCGCAATGTAGTGGATATGAAGCTGCATTTTATCATCAAAAGGGAGATATCCAAGTAAGTAATATGAATACATCTTATCATAATATTAAAAGAATTGCGGCATATGGAATCCAATGGCCAGATGGAACAGGTATTATTAATTTCACAACAGCATCAAATACTTCATCTTCAGAAGCTCAAGGAATTTATCATGAAGGCACATTACATAGTACTTATTGCAATTATTTAAACAATGAATGTAGAGAGACCAACAATGCTATCTTTTATTGTAGAAGTAAATGTAAATATTCAAAATGTTCATTCATCGAAAATAAGGGAACTTATTTATTTCGGAGAAAACCAGAAATTGAAAACTGTTATTTTGCCGAAAACACTTTTGAACGAAATGTCCATTATGATGAATCATTTACTTTAGAATCATTTGAGTCATTCAATTCATCTATTGTTCATTATTCAACAGATGGATGTTCTGCAACGTATACAAGTAAAATTCATAATACATTAAGCATTCTAACATATAGAAATTCGAGATTTAGAATTCTTAGACGCTAAGCATAAAAAATGACATTTTTTAGATCATCTAATGTTTCTAAAAAATATTATGGTGTCTAATAACGTTCAGTATTCGAATCGAATTCCTGATACAAATTTTTTTCAATTATTTGCTTTTTCAAAAAGTTCGTAAATTACCCTTTTAATAGAAGTAAAGTAAGCGAGAAATTATCAAATTCATTACTCAAGTAAAGATTATTGTTTGTTTGGTTTATCTAATGGAAAAGGTTGAATTTTTTTTACTAAAATTATAGTGTGCTATCATGATAAACAATAGTCATACACTTGTATTTAAAGCATTCAATTTTTATAAAAAAAGTTTAGGTTTTCGAGATTATTATTAGTGATTTTCTGATAAAAATATTGAGGAAATACAATAATCTTTTTCCGATATCTCCTTAGAATTGATTGTATGACTTTCATCAAAAAGTCGAATATGATCCCATGGCTAAATTTGACACTTACAAAATTACAAAATTTATTATTTGATTTTTAATGAACATGCAAGGTAGATTTTACGATAGCATCAAAGATATCAAATAAAATCAATAGCCTTTTATTTAAATTTACCAAAATGAAAGATACAAAATTTCAAATTGCAACTTCAAAGAGATTTTTCAGATTATTACGGTACAGATGAGTTTGAAGATAAAATTCTGAATGAAACCATATCAGGAAATGGCAGTTATTACATTAATAACGCATTTTTTTCTTTTCATTTTCGAAAAAGAACCATATCCATTAGTTCGAATAGTAGTGTATTACTCGAAGCATGCGCGTTTTACAATAATAGCTCCACAGAAAATGGAGGATCAATCTGTATCATCGAATCTAATTGCATTTTAGTTCATCTTTGTATTTCTTTATCATCGATTGTTTCAAATAAAAAGTCTGGATGTGTATATTACATTGATCCGATTTATAACAATAGGTTTAATTATGCATTTGGGTGTTCAATTTCACAATGCATTGGATATGAATCAGCATTTTTCCATCAAAGAGGAGACATCCAAGTAAGTAATATGAACACATCTTATCACAAAAATATTGATAGAACTGCAGCATTTGATATAATTATACCAGAAGGAATAGGAATTATTAATTTCACTACTGCATTTAATACTTCTTCTTCAAATTATTGTGGAATGGAAGTTTTTGGTACTTGTAATATTAGGAAATGTAATTATTTATATAATAAATATTCAGGAGATACTAATTCTATTATACAATGCTCAAGTTCATGTTTACTTTTGAAATGTACAATCATAGGAAATATAGGAAATTCTTTATTCTATACCATGCCAAATATTGATCATTGTTTCATTAAAGATAATGATGTGAATCAAATAGCAAATGATTATGTTAGTATTGATCCAGGGAAACCAGTAAATTCACATTTGTCTCATTATACGACGTATTATTGTCCAGGATCTGTTTACTATTATAATTATTTAGATGAAATTCAGAATAGATCTTATAGCAAAAATATAACTTATCTTAGTCTAAGATTTAGATATCGAAGGCATTAAACCTAGAGTTAATTCTTAAGATCGAAAATTAATTAAGATGGTTTTCAAATAGATTTTTATGAAGTGATTCACCAGAGTATTATTTTAAAAATCTGGAATCATTTCAAATATAATCAGAACGTATTGTATTACATAGACAAATCACGAGGCATCCATTCTTGCTATCATCTTTGTCGAGCAAGATAATTGTATGGCAACTAGATATGTTGATTGCCCTTTACAATATACGCATCAATTAATCTAGTTTGTATACTAAATTCCCATTATTTAGTATTTCAAATGAGTAGTATACTATAAAAATAAGTTGAGATACTTCTTTTTATACCAATTATTCAAAAAATGAAAGATTAAATAATGAAATACTCATTGGTTTTAAAAAGTCTATGATTTCAATCAAAATTGTAAAAATAAAATTTTATTTTCATGGATTTTATGTCCAACCTACTTGACCTTCGCCGCAAGCACAAGTGTCCTTCGGCAAACCGAAATTAAACGCATTTTCTTTGATTAATTTACATTGGATAGTCTTTTTTAATTCTTGAACATCCTTTCGAAGCTGGTGGATTTCGTCGTAAATGGATTCTAATTCATCTTTTCCTGCCGAGATTGAACTTGATAAGAGAAATAACAAAAAGAGTAGCATATTATTGAATTTTGATCAGAATTTTTTTTTCATATGAGTAATAAACTTCTTTTATCTGGTATCATTAGTTCCAGATGTAGCTTATCTGTATTTCCAACATGTAATAACGTATGCCTTTCCATACTTTTTGGAATTTCTATAGTAATATGTATTCCATTCATGTATGTTTTTATATCAATTATAAGAATATCTAATTATTACAAAACAGTTAAAAAAGATAAAGGCCCCATATTCTGTATTTTAGTGGTAATCAACTCTATAATTAATTCTTTCTCATGCTGTACACATTTATATTTCTTTGCATTCACTAGATTTTCTAAAATATATGTTTTAAAAAAAAAAAAAAAAAAAAAAAAAAAAAGGTAGTGGGGCTTCCAGGCACTTCGTGCCTTCTAGCCCTGATGTTGATGTTTAGTATAAATGAAGTTTTTATTCGGAGGACTCTTCTTCTTCCTCCATTGCTTCTGGGAAGAAGCCTTCTTCTGGGTCGAAAACATTATATAATGTTTCACTTTTCACAAATTATATATGTTTTCATGTTTTGTCACTTTTCTGTCACTTTTCAGGGAAAAACATTTTTATTATTATATATAAATGAATTTTACAAAACCACCGTTACCGTTCTTTGGAAATAAGAGTAGATGTAAAGATATTATATTGAGAGAACTTAAGAAACTACCGAATGGTCTAACATTTGTAGATTTGTTCGGTGGAAGTTTCTATATATCCCATTTGTGCCATACAATATTCCCAGACTCAAAGATTATATGCAATGACTTCGACAACTATATGGACCGTCTCAAACATATACCAGACACAAACAATATATTGAAAGAGTTAAAAGAAAAGATACCTATAGGTAAGATGGAACGTATACCATTAGATAACAAAAATATTGTGAGAGAGGTTTTGAAAAAAGCAGAATATATAGACTGGGATAGTATATCTGCTAGACTATTATATAGTGGTGCTATAAGAGTTCATGACATTGAAACACTTATGTCAAAAGTTTTATATCTTAACTATACAAATGTTTTCAAAGAGGACATAGAAAAATATATTGAGGGTATAGAGTTTGTGAGATGTCATTGGACAGAGTTGTATGAAAAATATAAAAACAAGGAAAATGTTTTCTTTATAGTGGACCCGCCGTTCTTTAACACATGGGATTTTCAATACCAAGTAGACTGGACTTTGAGAGACTCTTTAGAAACTTTAGACGTTTTACATAACCATCCATGCTTTTACTTTACATCCGATAAAAGTGGTTTGGAAACCGTTATGAGATGGTTAGAGGACATACATGACTATGAGTTTATATATGACAAGATAGAATATGAGAGAGGTCTATAAACTGGAGAAAGTGTCACAATAAAGAAATTTTATTAGTAAGTAAATGTGGTTTGAAATAGGACTACTTGTTTTAGGTTTTTTCCATTGTGTCATTTATTTCTTTGACGTGGCAGAAAGGTACAGAGAATATGAAGATGAACCAATGCCTGCAAATGTCCAGTATATGTACTCGTAAGAGATATTTTTATCTAATATTAAATGGACGCACAGAACTTAGCGAATGCGCAGCAACCTGGACAACCAAACCCAGAGAATATTCCAAATGAAGTTAGAATACAAACTGCAATGGCAAACTATGGTCAAGTGCCAACAGATGTACAAATGCAAACTGCCATGTCAAATGACGCTGCGTTAGGTTTGCCACCATGGTATGCAAATATGAGATGGAAAGAGTTTTATACAAACCCCGAAGTGGGATATAAACAACTTTATGCAGATGACGCGAACACAGGAGTTGACCCAGAATATGTTTTCTACCAGAGGAGAAACAGAATGTATGAGCTCCAGTTAAAGAATGCTATGGAACTCAACAGGAAACGTAAGAGACTAGGCGGACATTAGATTTTTACATATAGTAAAATGGGTTTCTTCAGTAGTATTGGAAACTTCTTTCGAAATGTTGGAAGAGGTATATGGAATGGAATAAAAACCGTAGGAAGAGGAATTTGGAACGGAGTCAAAAATATTGGTAAAAGAGTAGGTCAGTTCGTTGGTATTATACCTAAAGACCCTGAACCAGAAGAACAAGCTCCTGTTATACAACAGCCTGAACCTGCACCACAGTCTAGTTGGCAACCAAATCCAACACCTCAACCGTATTAAAAATTATATTTTTACCGTTCGATAGTAGTTGTATATGAAACTAAGTTCTAAGTAAAACGCATGGTATAATGGAATTATTCTCTTTCTTCCATCTGTAGTAAACCATACTTGAAAGTCTGAAATACTTCCACTTGTGGTTTCATATAGCTTTGTAGGTTTTTCGTAAAAGTCATTTGCCAAGCATAAAAAAGAGTTTTGTGCGCCAGAAAATGAAGCATGAACTATAATAGCATCTGAGTCGAAAACATCTTTAAATAAATATGGTTCATTCTTGCATATCGACTGTAAATATTTGCTAAAGGAAGTTCGACTTTCTGATTTAACATTCTTTGCAAATAATACCATGACATTGCAGTGAATTCTGTATATATTTGTTCGTCTTTCTTTGATTGTCTTCGTAGATTTGAAATGACACTTGTGAATTTTGTTTGTCATATACAATTCTCACATAAAGTGTGCTCTCGGTATTTGCATATTCATCAGCATATTTTGCATAACATGAATTTATTTTATCTTCTATATTTTTTAACGCAGTCTGTAGAGAAGATGAAAGGTCAACTTGTATTAGCTCAATTTCTTCCCCACATTTTTTCGTTTCCCTTCAGATATATAATCTATATGAAACCTTACAATAAATGGGAAACTTTTATCTT